GAAACGTCACATCTTGGTAATGCGCGTCTAATGTTGCTTTATTAATTTCTTTTTTTAAAATCCTTTTATTTGACTTTAATTTCAATTTTTCAAAATGATTTTTTCTGTATGAAAATCAAAATAAAAGTACATTAGAAAATTTAAAGTAGGACTTGTCTAGTTGAAAGTTAAAACTATGAAAAATAATTTAATTTTTGCATTTCATAAACTTAAAAATCATATAATTGACTAAGTGTAGAATTTAGTAAGTAAATATAGTATTTTTAATTTTAGATGATGGTGTGTATTAGTTTAATTACTAAATTATTATTAAAATGATTAAAAAATTGAAATAATATTAAAAATAAGAACTCTTTTTTACGCTTTGACCTCTCCTAAACGCATGAGCTCTTTTTATCAACCATACATTCTTTAATAAAATAATATTACACCTAAATTTAAAAACTTTTCCTTTATTTTTAACAATACATTTTTTCAAAAAATTACTATTCTTTTCATTATAATTTGAAAGAGTGGACTCCAATAATGTAAAGTAATTTAAGCATATCTAGTCCTCGTTTGGTTAAAAACCATTTTCAACTTTTTCAAACATGAATCATATGAGCCAAAATGTCAAATAACGAGAGTTAATGGGCGCCAAAGGGGGCCTATATGTTAGAGTAGAAGCAGCATCGTGGAACATTTAGGGCCCAGCTACCTACCATGTGATATTTTGTTCCATTAGCATTGTTAGTTGAATAATATTTTCTACTTGGAAATCTATAATTGGCATATATATTTCTAATATGGAAATGATATTAATTTTTAATCAAAAGAAATTGTTTTCAGAAGTAATTTATATGAAACTTGTGACTCGTCTTTTTGTGTCAGAGTCCATAGATGAGATTGTTGGATTTGATTCAAATTTGGCAAATAGAAAAGTACTAATACGGAAATGAAAGAAATAATTCTTTTTTGGCAAGAAAAAAAGGGAAAAAAAAAAAAAGGAAATCTGTTGGTTGAAAGAGAAAATGAATACTATTACAAATTAGAAAATGATTTTGAGCAAAATTAGGATTGAATAAATATCGATACATGGACGAATTGAATGACGAGGTAGCATACGGTAGAGAATAGAAATCGGGACGGCAATATTTCTTCAAAGTTGGAGAGAGAAAAAGAAAAAATAAAGTAGAGAATAGAAATTGAGACGACCACATTTTATCACCAATCATATCTATAACCATGTGAACCACTTTATTATTCTCCATATCAAAACTTTCATTCACATGCTCTCGAGCTTTTACGTATAAAATTAACATGCCCACATTATTTCAAATTATAATGAGAGGAATAATAATTTTTTTGGAGAATGTGTGATTAAATAGAAGGAAAAGTTTTTGAATTTATGTGTAATAGCTGTGTTAGTGCCTGATCATCTTTCTTTTACACAAATTACTGGATCACATCTTTCCTATGTCGTTGTTGGGTAAGCTCTCTCCTATCTCATGTTGCTATTTTANGCAAGGGTGTTCGCCTGCGTATTAAAACCTACTTGAACTAGATCTTCTGACTCTCGCTCTTAAAGATGGATTGGCGGGTTTTGAAGAAAATTGGCTTCTAGGGTAAGGAATGGAACTTCCCGACACGCAGGAGTACGTTGAATTCTTCACTAAGACAATAGAAGGTGACATATGTACATCTATTATTTTATTGGAGATTGTGTGGTTAATAAGAAGTGAGAGAAAGATGAATTATAATTTAATGAAAAATAATGGGGACCAAACGAGGGCTAAAGTATCTGCATCCTTCCTGCCACTACATTCAAGACAATAATTTTTGTGCAGGTATTGCTTAAAGCTCAAATATTAACATTGATGATTGAACCTCTTCCAAAGCATCCATCACTAAATCTAAAAAGAAGTCTCTTGAAACCTCACCATAGGTTAAAAGAACAACTAAAAACTTCACAAATTTTTTTTCCTTCGGGTATGTCACTGGAAGATGAACGTTATCTCACAAACCAAGAAAAAAGTTTCTTGCAAAGATATTTAATCACTTTTTTAATCTATGGCTGGATTCTGGAAGAGTCTTTCTAAATTTAGTGATGAACACTTTAGAGGCTCAAAATGTATACTCCAATAAGCATTCATCACTGAAAGGTAATTTTTGAACTAACATTTACTATCATATGTTATGCTACTTGTCAAACGAAATTATCCTTCTTCTTTATATGTTTTTTACCAATTTAATGTGGTTCCAAATTTTTTACCTAGAATGTTTATTAGCTATGCCGATACAATAATTTTTTATGATCATTTTCGATTTTAAAGGGGGTATTAAGGGCCGGTACAACGATAGGTCTTTGATTTTATTTTGATTTTCTTGAATTGTTTTTCGATTTTTTTTTTTTTTTGGTTTGCAAAGGTAATCCCAGTTTGTATTTCGAAATGATTATTTTTTTACAGTTTTCTATAAGATCCT